TCATTAACACATATATAACCTTGAATAAGATTCTTCACAAGGTACTTACATGTTTTCCACAGATGGAGAAAAACCTAAATACAATCACACAAGCGCCCATCATGTAGGTATATGCATTCTGAAATTTAAACAGAAGACAGCCTCTCATAATTTGCACAAAAGATCTTGTTACAGTTCCATTTTTTAAGTATTCCGTGAAGTATACTGAATAATTAGCTGAATATGTATAAATTCTTGTAAGAAAGTTATCTAAAAAAGGTGCTGAAAAGGTCACTGCAAAAACTCATGAATAAATATTAGATTTAAAATTCAATCTCAAATGAAACTTCGGGTTCTGTTTTACTCAGTTAAATTCTGTATTTTGAAATTTATTTTACATAAAATGGTGACCAGCTCTTTTGTATATATGGTGTGAAAAACATAGGATAATGGTGCAACATAGGAAGGTCAAATGACATAGGAGATAAAGGAATCCTGGCAAAAAGAAAGGGCTGATGGTGGAAAAGATTGCCAGAAGTCAGATTCTAGACACCACTGAAGAACAAATACACACTCATTCTTCTAAGCTGATTTCAGAGAGGTCCTCCCTGCTCAGGAACACATCCAGCTCTTTCTTCAAGGGTGTGATTACCAGGAAGAGATGACTGCACTTTATGAATAAGAAAGCTTCATTTGAGAAACAAAGATCCCACCAGCTATAGCTGCAATAACAACCTTAACACTCAGCCGATGCCAGAGTGTGATTACTCTCAAGGAGGCTTGCCTAGCCAAATGATGACAGTCACAGATGGGCCCCGGGAAGGGGATCTAGCAAGATCCTTGGTGAGGTCCAAGCACATGAATGTGTGCACATAGCATCTTTGGATAGGGAACTTTCCTTCCCAATAGTCCACTGCAAAATATGGTGGAGAATGAGCATCCTTCCAAGACCAAAGAGGTTCTTGGAGAAGAACAAAAGCAGTTAGGCAGAAAAAGCAAATTGGTCTTTCAGGTTTAAGATTTCCTCTCTGAGGTTATCTGGGATTAGGGAGTCTACTTGACTTTTGCTTGGACTGAGTAGCTTTAGGTTGCATTTTGATATGGTTTGGCTGTGTTCCCACCCAAATCTCATCTTGGATTGTAGTTCCCATAATCCCCACATATCATGGGAGGGACCAGATGGAGATAACTGAATCATCGGGGTGGTTTCCCTCATCCTATTCTTGTGATGATTAAGTCTCACGAGGTCTGATAGTTTTATAAGGGGCTTCCCCTTTCACTGGTCACTCATACTTCTTCCTGCCACCATGTGGAGAAGGATGTGTTTGCTTCCCCTTCCACCATGATCGTAAGTTTTCTGAGGCCTTCCCAGCCATGCAGAACTGTGAGTCAATTAAACATCTTTCCCTTATAATTTACCCAGTTTTGGGTATTTTTCCATATCAGCATGAAAAAGGACTAATACAGTAAATTCGTACTTAGAGTGGGGGGCTACTATAAGGATACCTGAAAATGTGGAAGCAACGTTGGAACTGGGTAACAGGCAGAGGGTGGAACAGTTTGGAGGACTCAGAAGAAGACAGGAGGATATGGGAAAGTTTGGAACTTCCTAGAGACTTGTTGGATGGCTTTGACCACAATACTGATAGTGATATGGACAATGAAGTCTAGGCTGAGGTGGTCTCAGGTGGAGATAAGAAACTTATTGGGAACTGGAGCAAAGGTGACTCTTGTTATGCTTTAGCAAAGAGACTGGTGGCATTTTGCCCCTGCCCTAGAGATCTGTGGAACCTTGAATTTGAGAGAGATGATTTAGGGTATCTGGTAGAATAAATTTCTAAGTGACATAGTATTCAAGAGGAAGCAGAATATAAATATTTGGAAAATGTGCAGTCTGATGATTTTATAGAAAAGAAAACCTCATTTACTAGGGAGAAACTGAAGCCAGTTGCAGAAATTTACATAAGTAACGAGGGGCTGAATGCTAATCACCAAGACAATGGGGAAAATGTCCCCAGTGCATGCCAGAGACCTTCATGGCAGCCCCTTCCATCACAGGCCTGGAGGCCTAGGAGGTAAAAATGGTTTTGTGGGCAGGCTCCCCCTGCTCTATGCAGCTTTGGGACATGGTGCCCTGCCTTCTAGCAGTTTCTGCTCCAGCCATGGCTAAAAGACGCCAGTGTACAGCTCAAGCCAATGCTTCAAAGAGTGCAAGTTCCAAGACTTGGTGGCTTACACATGGTGTTGGGCCTGTGGGTGAACAGAAGTCAAGAACTGAGGTTTGGGAACCTCTGCCTAGATTTCACAGGATGTATAGAAACAACTGGATGTCAAGGCAGAAGTTTGCTGCGGGACCAAAGCCCTCATGGAGAACCTCTGCTGGGGCAGTGTAGAAGGAAAATGTGTGGTTGGAGTCCACACACAGAGTCCCCACTGGGGCACTGCCTAGTGGAGCTGTGAGAAGAGGGCCACCATCCTCCAGACTCCAGAATGGTAGATCCACTGACAGCTTGCACTGTGTGCCTGGAAAAGCCACAGACACTCAACACCACTCCAGGAGGGGGGCTGTTCCCTGCAAAGCCACAATGGTGGAGCTGCCCAAGGCCATGGGAGCCCACCTCTTGCATCAGGGTGCCCTGGATATAAGACATAGAGTCAAAGGAGATTATTTTGGAACTTTAATGTTTTATGACTGCCCTATTGGATTTTGGACTTGCATGGTGCCTATAACCCCTTTGTTTTGGCCAATTTCTTCCATTTGGAATGGGTATATTTACCCAATGCCTGTATCCCCATTGAATCTAGGAAGTAACTAACTTGCTTTTGATTTTATAGGCTCATAGGCAGAATAAATTCTCCTTTTCTCAGATAAGACTTTGGGCTTGGACTTTTTGGGTTAATGCTGGAATGAGTTAAGACTTTGGGGGACTGTTGGGAGGGTATGATTTTAAATTGAATTGTGAAGACATGAGATTTGGGAGGGGTCCAGGCAGAATGATATGGTTTAGCTGTGTCTCCACCCAAATCTCATCTTGAATTGTAGTTCCTATAATCTCCATGTGTTGTGGGAGGGACCAGGTGGAGATAATTGAATCATGGGGGCAGTTTCCCCCATCCTGTTCTCATGATATTGAGTTAGTTCTCACAAGATCTGATGGTTTTATAAAGGGACATCCCCCTTTGCTGGGCACTCATTCTTCTCTCTCGTTCCCTTGTGAAGAAGGATGTGTTTGCTTCCCTTTCCACCATGATTGTAAGTTTCCTGAGGCTTTCCCAGCCATGTGGAACTGTGAGTCGATTAAACATCTTTCCTTTACAAATTACCCAGTTTTGGGTATTTCTTCATAACAGCGTGAGAAGGGACTAATACACATTTTATCTGGAGAAAGGAAAAACATGGGCTTTGCTGCCTCTTCTTTCCACATTCGCTAAAGATCTATTGCAGATACCTTCCCTCTTTATGTTTTGGAAGTAAAGACAACCAATAGTTTTTAGGATGAGAACCTGAATTCTTCACCTGGACTGCAAGGTCCTAAGAGGTCTGACACCTTCTTACCCATCCAAATCTTGTACTATGCTAGTACTATGTATCTATCCTTCTTCCAGCTCTGTCATCTTTCCATCACAGGGACAGCTACCTGAAATGCCCTCCCCTTATCCTACAGATGGAGCCATCACTCCCTTGGGGATGTCTTCCAAGACCTCTCTGATGAAGCCATCTCCCACTATTATCTAAGTTGTCACAGGAACACAGGCTCTCCTTCATCTCCCTCATCATAGTCATTATACTCATAGATTTGTGAGTAATTGATGACTATCTGTTACTTTTCCAGGATCTAAGGTTCACAAGAGCAGCAACTGTATTTGTTTTGCTTATAACATTCTTCTCAATTACTAGTACTGTGTCTTGTACTAGGAATTGAGAACCATCTATTGCTGAGAAAATAGTTCAGGGTGACTGAGAGCTCACCTAGGCTTCATAGAGCTCCTGATGCTGAAGGCAACCACTGGTTTAAGAAGGACGCTCACTATGTTCATGAGCACAGCATCTCATATTAAGGCAAGCCCTTCAGGATGTGTAAATAAGTCTTTCCCAGCATGTCCCCAACATGAAGGGGATGGGAGAATGGATAGAAGGAAACAGGGAAAAAGTAATAATATTCCTTGGGATGAGATCAAGGATGACTAACAAAAAGAAGGTAATTATAATAATGCCTACAAACTTGTATAATCTTTCTAGTTCAAGAAAGCCTCAAATATATTATCTCACTTGATCTTCATAATGCCAGAGGAAATAGGTGGATTATGAAGTTATATTGCCCGTTCAGAGCAGGAAACAAAGGATCATTGAAGGCAAATAAATTAGTCAAGGCTGGAAAATGGTGGAGCCTAGACTAGGACCCATATCTTCCAGAGCTGTGCTGTCCAACATGGTAACTATCGGCCACGTGGAACCACATATGGGTTATTGAGCACTTGAAATGTGGCAATTTAAATGAAGATATGCTGTAAATGTAAAATACCTACTCAGCCAAAGACTTCACACACAGATACAAGGATGCAACTTACCTCAATAATTTTATATTGCTTACACATGAAAATAATACTATTTTGGATATAGCAGTTTAGAAAATGTAATCATTAAATTGTTAATAATTATAATTACATAAATAATTATAATTAATAAATAATTGCTTCTTTTTTATTGTGGCTTCTAGAAAATTATCTAGTGATATCTGTGGCCATATTTTATTTTTACTGGACAATATGGCCCTAGATTACAGCTCAGTACACCCATAGCTGCAGATTTTGAGTGGGATCTCGGACTGAATGGATGGTGAAGGCACTTTAGGTAAAATAGTGAGAACACAGGTGTAGAGATGGAGAATCATATGCTTTAGAGAAGTGGAGGCTAAATGTCTTATAGAAAATGAAACAGTGGAAGTACTTGAGAATTACATTGTGAAATACTGACTATAGTGAAGTGGAATGAATGCTGTATTTCAGCTGAGAAAGCAGGAAAACAGGATGGTAGTCTTCTGATACTAGCTTGTTGTGTGAATACGGACAGTTCTCAATCTCTGTTGCAGTCTTCCTCTTTCTTTCTTCCTTGTTTTCCCCTTTGGTAAAATGAGGGGTTAAATCAGAAGATCTTGAAGGTCCTTCTCTTTCTAGCTTGCACCATCTAGGGCTTTGAGGGGCCAGGTTTTGCCTGTGTGAAGAGTGCCAGGGTGTGTACATGTAGACACAAGCATGTCTGAGAGTCCATCACAGTCAAAGCTGGGCTTTAGGGAGGTCCATCTAACACCTCAGAGCAGGTTGATGTGGAGTAAAATGAGACTGGAAACAGGACTGAGCAGAACTGAACCAAACTGAAATAATCAGCTGAAATCAACTTGACTTCTACGCTTACCAGGAGGGCAAAGTGAAGCACCACCCATACAACACCAAGTGACGTCACCAGGAGATCGTATCGGTTTCTTCTGCTTTGCCAGAAGCCAGCAGGTGACATTGCTATGATCTTCATGGTAACCTGGAGAAAAAGCAAAGAAGAAAATAAACAGAGGGAGGGTTTAGCACATATTTAAATGTATTAACTTGAGATGCATTATGTGTATGTATTTTTTTTTTCAAATGAAGAAAATTCTAAATTACTTGATGTGGACACAATTTCTTTTTCATTGAAAATGAGACAAATACTTTAATGCCTTTTGAGGTTTGCTTTTAGGCCATGTGCCTACACTATCTGTCTGTCTGTCTATTTATTTATTTTTTATTATTTTTTGAGACTGAGTCTCGCTCTGTCACCCAGGCTGGAGTGCAGTGGCGCGATCTTGGCTCACTGCAGCCTCTGCCTCCCAGGTTCAAGCGATTCTCCTACCTCAGCCTCCCGAGTAGCTGGGGTTATAGGCACGTGCAACCACTCCTGGCTAATTTTTGTATTTTTAGTAGAGATGGGATTTTATCTCATTGGCCAGGCTGGTCTCAAACTCCTGGCCTCAGGTGATCCACCCACCTCGGCCTCCCAAAGTTCTGGGATTCCAGGAGTGAGCCAGCATGCTCAGTTATACTATCTATTTAAAGAATAACAGTAAACAATGTAGTAACTAAAAAGAAGAGTTTATTACCAAGATATATGATTTTATTTTTGAAGCTAAGTAGCTTACAAATCTGTTCTTTATACTCTCCTCTGTTTTATGACTAGTTCTGATCATGGGACATTTTTCTTCCTTAAGCAAAAGGCCATAGATTTTGGGAAACATCAACCAGTATAGGGCAAAATGAGAATCTGCTTGTATTTCAAGAAGATTGTCCTGGAAAGCGATATTATATGAATCACATGTTAAAATAACCTTGTCTGGGCCAACTTGCTTTGCCACTCTATTGCAATTTGAGTCAATGAATTATAGTGGCTTGCACCATTCCCTCTAAATATTAGAACTCGCATAACTAGACAGGCCAATGTTCAGACACAACAATCGACAGCAGCATTTCTGTAGTTAGAAAAATCTGATGGATAAAGTGATGTCTTTGTTCGAGTTAAGCAGAACCGCTTAAGAAGGAAATATCCTAAGGGCAAAGCTTCAAAGGCAATGGAACACAGAGAGGAGAGTAAGTGGCATCAAAGAGGGATGCTGATTTACTTTAAAACTGTGCACAGATTCCCCTAGAGCTAGCTGACTCATTACAGTACCTCCAGAACAAAGATGAAGGTGAAAACAACTGACATTGTTGCCAAAGGTACGGTCACCGGGTCCTCGACGTCCCACTGCAACAGAAACAGCGCACAAGTCATTGCCCACATCCATCAGACACATACAGGCTTGCCCCTCTTCTGCCCACTTTGCCATGACAGTGAATCTTAATTTTTATACCCAAGAACATAACTGTGAATGCATATAGCAGCTTGTGATACTCTCGGATGTAGCAGTGAATACACAATTCATTCCCGGAGCCTTAGGGTGAAACTAAGTACCTTGACAGAGAGCAACACCGACTGGGCCAGGACGAGTAATGCAATTGTCCTCTTAAAAAATGGATGCTGGGTTATGTCATACATTTTAGCTCTAAAACCATCATTATCTAGAAAAGAAAGGTTTGGGCAAGGGCATGTTAGACACAGGTCACATTTACTTTCTTGCCATTTATTTTCTTAAATGCTTATCTTAAAACCCATTACATTTTCCTCCCCAAACAATTCCATCTATTGTGAGGTGCTTTTGCAGCAATGGCTGGCTCTGAATATTTAAAATGACAGTGCATGACGCCGTCTATATTGGAAAGAGAAGTGCATCATTCAATTTCTGTCAGTTTAATACATTTCACTCATATTTTTAAAAGGCAAGCGCAAATATATTTTATTTTAAAAATTCATTTTTTCATTAAGGCTTAGTCTGAGAGCACTGAAGCACAGCTTTTGGGTGGTTGATTTTAATAGCCTTATGGAGAGATTTGTGGTTTGGAGGCTGTTTCCATATTAACTTATGCACAGCCTCCCAGCGGCCTCACGATTATTATTTTAATTTAAATCTGAGACTCCTGGGGAATCGTGCACACTAGTGCCCAACATGAATAAAATCAGAGCATCTTGGGTACCCGGGCGAGGCGGGAGATGAAGAGGCTGTGCGATCTTCAGTCGGCTCTTCAGGTCTTCCCATCTTCTCTGATCGACGGTCAGCAAAGCTGTCCCCTTAACAGACAAAGGAAAGCAGGAAACGGCCTTTTGTCACGTGCTTGCACCAAGAACATGGCAGATGGCAGATGGGGTGCGGAGACAAACAGGACTGATGTGGGGGCTTGCGCTGACCATGTTCTTCCAACCGTGGTGGTTAGAAAACATGGTCAGAATGCTCAAAGTTGGTCTTGGGAAGAGTTCCCAAAATGATGACCAGGTGTTTCAGAGAGAATTCAGCAGCCTTCAACTTGTATCTTTGGAGATGTGTAATATTCAGGTTTGGGAAAATATAAAGAGTAGTTTTTACATAATTACATTTTCAAAAAAGGACACTCACTCATAGTAGTTAGTTTCCTTTCATTTCATAGCAGCAAAATTATAGCTTGTCAATGCTATGGCTTCTAGTTAAGGGTATTTTGTCTTTCTTTAAAAAATGTCTAATATGTGCAATTGCAAAACTGTTTCTGAGAGATACTAAGTCACAGAGTTTGCATTTCAAGAAATTAGTGCTGTGATAACTGCCTAAATGGAATTTCATATTCTATATAATGGAGTACTTGATTAAAATGCATATGATAAAATTATATTTTATTGCACTGCAGTGCATCATATTTTATCATAACGGCAGAAGTGTAATTTTAAAAACTAGACAAAAACCCCACTCTCCCTTTTCTTACCCAGAGCTAACCACTACTCTTCAGGTGTGCATCCTCCTTACTATGTTTTCAGACTTTTGTGCTTATGTATGTATCAATACATAAGAATTTGTTTTGAATTTTTTAATATTATAGAAATGCTGTCCAATATGTGATTATTTATGCTGTTTCTTTATACCTTCATTGAACAGTATACTTTCCATACAACTAGATTACTAGATCTAACTTGTTCAGCTGCTCACAAACACTGTCCACTGTACAAATACCATAATTTATTCATTTTACATTTATGGACTATAACCAGTTCTGCAACAAGCATCCATGTACTGTCTCACAGTAAATATCTATGAGGGTTTCTCCATTGTAAATCTCTAGGAGAAGAATTGATGGGATCTAGGAATTTAAACATCTTTACATTTACCAGATGTTGCCAACTTGCTTTCCAAAGAGCAATAACCAAAACAAATCTCCTACCAGCAATATAGAAGTGTTACCATATCTTAATATTCTTGCAATACTGGATATTACTAGACATTGTAATCTGACCACTTTGATAGGTGTGAAATGTATCTAATGTTGTTTTAATATTAACGAGATGAAACATTTGTATGTGTGTAAATGGTGATGCTTGTATCTTCCTATGTGAATTGCCTATTCATATCCTTTGCTCATTTTTGTATTTTGATATTTACTTTTTAATTGTTTGTAGAGATTCTTTATAAATGCTGGATACTAATCTTTTGTCAATTATATAAGTTGTAAATATTTTCTCTTAGTCTTGGCTTGTATTTTTATTTTGCTTAGAGTGTCTTTTGCCATTCAGAAAATTTTAATTTAAATATAATCGAGTTTATAATTTTTTTCCTTTGTAGATTTTACTTGGTGGCTAATGCGATGAAATCCATAATGACTCCAGGATAAAAAACAAATGCTTACTAGCGGTGGGGAGGGGAACTAGAATAGGGATAGTCAAATGTTGATTAACAGATACGAAAATACAGTTAGATTGCAGAAATAAGTTTTAGTGTTCCATGGTAATATAGGGGGTGAATCTAATTGATAACAATTAATTGTGCATTTTTAAATACCTAGAAGAGAGGATTTTGAATGTTACCAACACAAAACAGGGATAAATGTTTGAGGTGATGGATATGCTAATTATCCTGATTTGATCATTACACACTATAATACATGAATTGAAATATCACACTGTACCCCATAAATATGTACAATAACTATGTGTTGATTAAAAATAATAAAACCAAAACATTATTTGCTGCTTATCTGAAATTGAAATAAAAATAAATGCTGGCATGGTTTAAAAATGGTTTAAATTTTGCTTTTCATATTGAAGTCTTTAATTCATCTGGAATTCATTTTTGAGTATGCAGTGAGGTAGAGATCTCAGCATACCTCTTTACATCAATACAGTCAATACCCCCAACACCACTCCTTGTTGGTCTCACCACCCTCTGCACTAATTTGTTGAGCTGCTTCTGTTTTCTGCATATATGGGTCCCTGCTGGGTCTTTCTAGCTTTTTCTGTAAGTCTAATTTTCTGTACCTATAACAATACTGACACTGTTTTAATTATCGTAGCTTACTTTCTCGTTTTCTGTTTTTATTTTTGCTCAACCTTCCTAGAGGTTTATTGACTTGATTAAAAAAAACAAAACCCAGCTTTTGTTATTCTTGAACATTACAGAAGCTATACAAGTTTCCTCGCTTTCTGTATCATTAGTTTCTGTCCTAATCTTTGTTCTTTCTTCCCCCCTACTTTATTTGATTTTACTTTGTTATTATAATTTATTGATTTGGATATTTGACATATTAATATTTAACTTGTGATTCTTCTCTAATATATACAACTTAAAGTGATACATTTATTTGTAATTACTGATTTATCTATACCTCATGAGTTTTTGTATATGACACTATAAACTGTTTTGTCTGTAAATATTTTGTGATTTTCTATTATAATTTCTTCTTTAACTCATAAATTATTTAGAATATTGTCTTAATATTTCCAAATTGTAGAGTTTTTATTTTTTTCATTATGGTCAGAAAACATTCTTACATTATCAATTCTTTGGTAATTATGACTTTCTGGGAGATAGATTTTGTGCTTGAAAATAATGCACGTTCTCAAATTGTTGGAACTAGAGTTTTCCTAATGTGTTCATTTGATTGTGTTTATTGTATCAAATCTCATATTTCATTTTATTCTTCTCTGAATTATGAGATTTTTTGAGAAATATGTTAATATCTTTCACTATGATTTTGGATTTTCTAGCTTCTTTTTACAACTTGGTTAATTTTTGTTTTGTACATTTTGAGATTTGGAAGTTCTATACCTTTTCCCAATAATAGTGTTTAAAATTGTTCTTTTCTGATAATCACATTGCTAAACCACTTTTCTCACTAATTATAAACAAACACATGTTCTCTAGCCACCATAGATGTTAATGGAATTACTTTGTTAAACAAAAAAATAATTTTGGAAAGTTGAACTCTGAAAGGATCTAAAAGAATAAGCATGGAGGTATCATCTGATCATTAATATATAAAAACCTCTGAAAGTTTATTATTGTCGAATTAGGTTAATAAATCAAACACAATGTCTTATATAGTAGAGAAATCAGAAAAAAATCTATATTACTAGTATAGACTTGGAACTTTTTAAAGAGGTTTCCATTTTCAAAAGAAGACATTTTTTGCATGATTCTGAATTGTACCCTAAAGATTCCCTCATTTTCTATCTCTGTTGTCTCTGTATTTGGAAATTTACCTATGTGCCTTTGGGTATGACTACTAAGATGTGTGCTCCATGAGGGCAAATAACTTTTCTGTGTTTAGTGTTTCAGTTAGTTTGCTAGGTCCTCAGTGTCAAGAGCAGCATCTGGCACCTAGTAGATGCTCAAATACATCTGTTGAATGACTGAATAGTATATAAATGCTGTTACATGGCAGCTCATGAGCTGCTTTCTAAAAAAAAAAAAAAAAAAAACTTGCAGAGAAATAAACTTTTCTAAAAGCCTCACATAATTTAGCAGTTGATACCTCCAATTAACAAATCAAGTTTGTGAAGCTTGGTAATATAATTTCTTGTCAATTTCTCCTTTAAGTGCCCATTTGAGCTGATAGAACATACACCTCAGATCCCCAAACAGGCCAAGTTGCTCTTTCCTACCTGCAGAACATAAATACAGTGCTAGATGGAGACCTCCCTGGTTATTCTGCTTACCTCAGCCACTTTCTCTAAGCTCAAGTGTTGCAATTAATTATACATTTATTTCCAGTTCCTGAACATTTTATGTTGTTCTATGTATGTTGCTGAATTGTGAGCTGTGATACGTTCTAATCTTCCTGAAATCAGGTGCCTGCTCAGAGGGCTTCTTAACGGTGTTCTGGGTAAGCAGTGCCTAAACTCTCCTGTTAATTGACTGATTAGCTTCTGCTTATGTTCTAGAATTCTCAGTGTCTGCTGCATTACGTGGCTCAAAGGCATCTAAAAAGACCCTTCTCTTCCTCTTTCTGCTTGGTATTAAACTAAACACTGTAGGGCTCAAAGCATCTCATTAATGAATGGGATAGGAGTAAAATAAGGGGCTGGGTGACACGATCACTACTGTTCTTTCTGTCTCTAACATCCCATGTTTCTGAGGGTCCAAGTAGAGTCGGGGCCCAAAAGAGGAATTTTTAAATCTCACCCTTTGAAAGCCTGAATGAAATGACATGCTCATTAGCCACACATCAAAGGTGTCAATTGACTGGGTAACTGGTACCACACACGTTGAGCCTGAGGACAGTGAATGACAGATACAGTCCCATGTGTAGCAACACAAACTGAAGAGCTCTGATGTGAACGCGTGGGAATCAGTCCTAGCCATGAATAACACCGAACAGCACGGTGCTTTACAGGCAGATCTAGTGTCAACTTAATGCAGAGTGAAGGTTGACTTTATGATACTCATGCCTTCGAAGAATCACAGAGCCTGCAATAAGTAATAGGCACCAATTCTGAATTCTGGCCCTGTTTATCATACCTTTTAAGCCTCAGACTAGTCATTGCTTTTCCTGCAACCGTGCATTTGAGAGTTGTGAGAATTGACTGAATATATAAAATCTTAGTACACAGTGTGTGCTCAAAAACTGCATGCATTTCTCTTACTATGATTCCAAAGACTGCCTCTCAAACAATAGAGGGCACAGCACAAGTGCCTAGATGAGCAAGTACCTCTCCAAGGGGTGCTAATAGAATGTTCTTCCCCAAACTCACGCTTTGATAGGAAACTACATTGTTGTTTTCCCATTTGTGAGTCTTTGTTCTAATCATTAGAGCTGTTACAAACTCAACAGGCTTCCCGAGTTCACAAAGTATGTCAAGTTCATATGAAATTAGAAAATCTTTTTTTTTCTTTCTTTTTTTTTTTTTGAGTCTCGCTCTGTTGCTCAGGCTGGATGCAGTGGTGTGATCTTGGCTCACTGCAACCTCCGCCTCTTAGGTTCAAGCAATTCTCATGCCTCAGCCAACCCAGTAGCTAGGATTACAGGCATGCATCAACATGCCTGGCTAATTTTTGTATTTTTAGTAGAGATAGGGTTTCACCATGTTGGCCAGGCTGGTCTTGAACTCCTGACCTCAAGTGATCCACCTGCCTTGGCCTCCTAAAGTGCTGGGATTACAGGCGTGAGCCACCATGCCCTGCCACAAAATCTTTTTTCTGTGAATTAGGATTTTAAAATTTCTACCAGATTCCCCTCATCCCCATCAAAATTCTGAGTTCACCTACTGAGTTACACAGAAGCATACAATTTACATTTAGTGAAAGTAATATTACCTGTAATTAGTGAATCACTTTCATCTATTGTATTTTAATAACTTGCTGCACATCTTTTCACTTTGAACAATAGGAGATGCGCCTCTCAGTTGTCGGTGAATTAATGACACTGTTACCAAAAGGGTAAATTTAGCGAGAGAACTGTACTCTTAAATGATGGTCTGAAAAGCAGCAATAAGTTTGCTTGTAAAACAGTTATAGAGATTATTTACACCAGTCACATTACAGTTTAACGCGGCTTCATGCTGCGTGTGAAAAGAAAAAAATAGCTCAAAGTGAGAGGCTAGAAAAGGCTAAACCCCGTGGTCTCCAAACCAAAAATTCTTACCTTGTTTTCATTGAAATTAGCAATAACTACTCCAACAAAAAGGGTCAGTCCAATCATGCAACCCAGGAATACAAAAACATGAATATAGATTCCATGGATCTGCATAAAGGAAAATACGGTTATTCATCAAGACAAATGAAAGCTGCTCTTGAAGTGTTCAAAGGATCCGATGTGCTTGCTTACCGGCCCCACACGATGAATAATAACATCCCTCACTTCCACCCAGCCTTTCAAGGAGAGAACTTCAAACAATGCCAGCATAGCGTTTCCCACATTGTCGAAATTAAAGTTCCGAGGATTTGCCCTGCAATTCCAACACAGGAATGTTCTGTGAAATTCCAGTAAGAAACACCCGAGGCAAAATATCTGTAGCCCTTTCCAGTCATGGGTGTGGGATATGTGTGGGATATGCACACACACACACATATACACACACACATCTGTGTGTATATGTATACACTCACACTTTTATACTATATGGCATTCAGTTGCTAAATCATAACAATGCATTGATGTGTTATTATTGTTTTCATTAGGTAATGATGGGATGATCTCAATGTAAAACAGCTCCAGTTCTAGCTTCAGAGGTTCTGCAACATTTCTACCTTGTCGTGATTACCCTGAGGACCGGACAGATGATTTTATCGATTTACACAAAGAAGCACTGGATTTTGGATGTGGATTTTGAAACAGTTTTGTAACTGAAAACCTTTCTAAAGGCATAAATTACAATTGCCTGCGTTAGTATAGAAAGCGTAGAGTAGAATTTAGTCACTTTATTTCACTTCGTGTCGTCATTGTGAACACAGGGCCATAAAGTAGTGATGCATTTAGAGGTCACTGAGACAGCAAGAGGTGTTTGCTTGTAGTCTGTATTTTTCCAAATTACTGTCTTCCAGTTGGATTGTTTTTCTTATTAACTCTGAGTCTTCTCAGTGGACTCTTAGTCTGGTCCCCTTTACGTGTGGTATGCTTTCTACCTCCACCGCTGATTCCTGATTCCTGAACTCATTGGCTTATTATTCATTTTCTTTTTTCTTACAGATTCGGGGGGTACGCATGCAGGCTTGTTACATGGGTGTATTGCATAATGCTGGGGTTTGGGCTTCTAATGAACCCGTTACTCAGATAGTGCGCACAGAATCCAACAAGTAATTTTTCCAACCTATGTCCTCCTTCCTTCCTCCTCCCGTTTGAAGTCCCCACGGTCCGGCATTTCCATCTTTATGTTGATGTGTTCCCACTGTTAAGCTCCCACTTTTTTGGGGGCCAGGGATGTCTCATTTCTTCTTCTTTTAACATGGTTATACTTTTCTCTTCCCACTTATAAAAGTGATCCTTTTTACTAGAGTGTACCTTCTTTAATTGTTATGGTTTTAGCTAACATTTTTGTTGTTAACAGAAGAAGGTTTCAGTGGTTTTTTTTTGCCCCCTCTTTCCTTCTTATTAGAGACTAATTTTAAATAATTAAGATATTCACAACCAAACACTGGAAAATCATGGACTATATTTCCTGAATTTAATGAAGAACTGAGCTCTGGAGCATTGACTAGAGTAGGCCCTGTGGAGCCTATTTAAATTATATTTTGATCATTTTTTCCCCCTGCTAGCTCATTTCTCAAAATTTAACCCTCATGACAGGCAACGCTCTGGGGAAAATCTGGTTCTGCACTTTTCTACCATCTTTCGTGTTTTTTAAACTATAGAGACAATCACAAGATGTGCCTTCATAAGTTTTTTGAATATTAAATAGATGAGGATATAAGAAGAAAACATTAAGCTGAAACTGATTTGCTCTTAAGGGCCTAGGGCTGATTAGTGGAGATGGTCTTTAATATAGTGCAAAAGCCCCACTCAGAAATTCATATTTGGGAATTCTGCTTTGTATTTTTTATGTATGAAAGTACAAATATATTCTTTTGGATGCTTCCAACAATCTTTCCTTTGGGATGTTTCCACTAAATTTCATATATTTTACAGTAGACAGAAGTTATAAGGATTCTACAGACGCCACAGTTTTCTTGAATAAGGATTTTTTAAAACCAAGTGAACCAGTTCTCAGAGCTGATGTTGGACTTCCATACCTGCTCATTTTCTTTTTGTAGAAGTGCTTTCTCAGCTGAATTTGCAACAACTTAAACTACTTTTATGTTCCATATCTTCTAGAAGTTAGAATATGTGAAAAATACTCTAACTAAACCAAGAAAAACAAAATGTAGCATCAAAGACTTCAACAGTTGGAAGAATTTATCACATTTTTAAAAATAAGTCTTTTTCAGTTTTAATCATGTAAGGTGTTTTCTTATGCTTTGCTCGTGTTAGCAAAATTGCAAAGTTTGAAACTTTACCTATAACTACGGAGTCCTTCAATAAATCCCAAATGTCATCCATTATTGCCATTTTTACCTGCTACCCTTCCTTGAATTGAAAAGGTTGTCATTCTTTTCTAGTTAATTTGTGAAATACTGTAATCTTGCCTGTCCAATTCAGAAAACTAAGACATTAGTTCTGACCACATAATTTTGTCAGCTTTTTAACCTCCCAGAGGAGGTGCTCGAAGCCCCCCAAGATCCTGGTAGGGAGAGCTGCTCTTCCCTTGAGGAACATGGGGGCACCCTGAAGACATGACTGAGCCTCTGCCCTTGGATGTGGAAATGCAGAAAACGACTTTGTCCAAAAACAGCATGCTGTATCTTACACAACCATCTCTCCTAAAAGAAATCAGAAACGTTCAGCTTCCTACAGCACCCCAACCCTTTTTGCCTTTAGCTTTGGCCATAGAGTTGCCTTAACTTGTAATACCAAATCTATGCCTAGACTTTCCTCTTCATCTGCCTCTGAGCCTGCCCCCTTCACCTGGCTAGTTCCTATTGGTTGTCCTTCAAAAGGTAACCTAGTGTGTCTTCTCGTCTGGTCCTTCTCTTTGGCCTTGTATAGTTGGGGTTAGGTGCTTCTCCTGTGTGTCCATTGTACCCTTAGCCTTTTTGTAGGAATCAGAGGCAGGAATACCATGAAGCCAAAGAAACCTAAGTGGTAGGACCCAGCTTTTGTACAGGCCCTTCCAAGACCCTGGTACCCCAAATTGTTTTGGCCTTAGACCCTATAAAACCTGATCACCTTCTGCCTAGAATGTATCACAGTGTAGCTTAAAATTACATGGAGATGAGTTTCGGGTGAGCCAGAGGTAAGCTGAGGGGTTTATCTGTGCAACATTAAAGCCCTTAACATATTATATAAAATTATTTGTAATTTTATTTTGTTTACCACTAGACTTTAAGCTCCTAAGGGGTAGGGGCCATAGCTTATTCAGGGTCATATCACAGAGACAAGCATACTACCTGGTGAATAGCAAGCACTCAATAAATACATTTATTATAAGCCTGAATACTTCGTTGATTTTTCTCTCATGCATGCCATTTTCCTATATTCCAGACCTCTTCTTAAAATAAGTCACACCATATTTATAATCTATGATATGTTTAATCCTTTTTACTGAGGTGGCTCATCAAGTCTGAGTGATTCAGAGGAAAGTACATTTATTAATCTGAAGAGAGAGTATTGAAACTAGACTGTCTCTGAATTAGTGCATATTTATGTCCTAATTATAATTACCAAAGCATTCCTCTAGGGGTATTCCTAGAGATGTTATTTCCTTAATCATAATTTAGCCAATATAAAATCACAAAATTTCAGCTTCTAACTCTTGATTAGCTTACTAAAGAAAGAAAGTGTAAAAAGTTATCATTGTTACAGATGACATTTATTAGATCAAAGGTGTCTATTTCACTACAATCCAAGTCACATGATCCTGGAGAAATGGACAAGAGCAATTGTGATGATGTTCAAGGAATGCCTATTTGCTTATGCTTCTAGAATGGCATTGCCTTTGAACCCCCTAGTAATATCTTCCATAAAATATTGCATTTAAATTAACTCTGATTTTAAAAATCCCATGGAGCTGGTTTTATGGAATAGGTTGAGTGCTATAGGGTACAACTGGCAGGTTTACTTTTCTCCAAATGTTAGCTTCAAGTGTGTTCCAGCTCCCTTTCTGAATTCTTGCAGAGGTCCCAGAGCTTTTTGGTTATTTTCAGTCATTCAGTTTTATATCCAACTGATCTTATAACTCATATAACAATCCCATCCTTAGCAGCTCAAGGACCCTGGTTTGAGGAAAGGAAGAAATGTTGGCCACTTTCTTCACTTCCACTCCTCCTCTTCAGGCCACCACGAGATTCTCACATGGCTGAGGTGGGATGTCATTGAAAGAAATGGAGGAATGAAGTTAAAGTCTTGTGCAACCGATACAACTGGATTCTGGCCATAGGTGTGCAAGAGTTTGAACCCCCTCCCCAGCCCAGGAGTGCCTCGTTGTACCTTTCCTCCTGTGAGTGTGCAGTCTCTGGGTCACTCTCAGGTCTGGCTCCTGGAAACACACCTACGAACTTCTTGGATGGGGGTACCCTTTCCCAGCACAAAGCCCTTTGCAGCAGGGCTCAAGAAGACTCAGACGATGTGGTCCTAGGCAGTGACTACTGGGCTCTCCAGGAACACCAGATAACCCTGCTCTCCAGATGGTGATAAGCAGCCTGGCCTACAAGAGTCTCTCTTCTTGCCTTGCCTGTCTCTGATGTTAAGTGATCCCCCTGGGGTACCTCACTTGGCAGAGGTGGGAGGCATCCTCCACCTTTCTCTATAGTGAAGGAATGAAATGCCCCAGTGTTCTCTATTCCTGACTTCATTTACTTCCATGATATTATCTTTGAATTAATGAACATTAATTAATAAATTATAACATAAATAACTATGCTATAATTAATTTTTGTTTCATGGAAGTAAATTTTTATGCTCTTTTAATTTTTGTTTCAGTGGAAATTGGATGGCTTTTCTAGTTAGCAGTGACGCGAGGATATTCTCATGTCTCACATTCCTCTCTCCAAGCTGAAGCCACATACCCTAAATGAACCCTTTTCCTTAGTTCTTGGATATTTTAAAAAATAAAAACCCAATATGCATTTTATTGGATTATATATAAAAGCAAATTTCATATTAGAAAAATGCCAAAGAAAGGTAACAGTGAGTTCTAGGGTACAGCTGGGTGAAATGCTATTCCTTTTAAAGAGTTTTGACATTTAGAAAAGAACATCAATTGTGACAAAAGCAGAGTTGCTGTGGCTCAGTTGTTATTCTAAGAAATTTTCTAAAAGAAAATTTAAAAAACAGATAACAATTTCAAAGGACAAATAAAGCTGACAGAACACTCAATTCGTCAATGACACAGACCGAGAGATCCACTCATGGTCATTAATAAAACAGATGAGACAGAAGGTACTAGGTATATCTAGCTTTGATCTAAGTGCTTCCGAAACTCAATTTCAAGAAAAAGGAATATTAAAGGGAAAGTTAGAAGCAATCGACTTTGTAACTGATTATTCCTCTCCAGTGTTTGAATAATGGAAATCCTTCAGTGTAAATGGGTTTTAAAATGGAAACAGCTTTATGATTTAGGGTTCTATTATGAGGACATCAGATCCTCCTTTAAAGATAGAAACTCAGGATAAGTTCAGTTTTAATTTGACAGAAAATCCTTTGTTAAGCCTCGCTAATTTTTAAAGCCATTTGAATCCAGATGCATATTTTTGAAGTATTAGAAAATACTGAGATAATATTTCTCTAGTTTCATGAAGCTATGCAGAACTCAGTGTACTACTTGCTCTCTTATTTACCTGATTTCTGTCTTCCAGTATAACCTAGCGTTTCACCCTGTATGACTTAAGATCATTTTCACATCTCTAGCAAAATTACTTTCAGTTACATGCCTTATTATACTTATTTAAAGCCTTATATTGAAAAACACAGCATTCTCCAGAATATTTTTTTTCTAATATACTTACCAAACACGGGGAACCCAAAATCCAGGCTTTTTCTCTCCAGGCCTCAATTTTAAATTTAAGTTCTTTGACACACTGACATTAATTCTGAATATGCCATTGCAGTCTTCCTAAAGTAGAAAAACAAGGGGAGAGGGGGAACCTGGTCAGAAAATGAACTCAGAAAAGATAAAGGATAGGAAACTCTTTCTATCTTCTTTGATAGAAATACCAAAAGTCCTTTATGTAACAACAGTGATGTGGACAGCCACCCAGCAAATAGTAACAAAGACTTTGGAGACAGGCAGTTAAAAGTTGATGCTGAGAATATTAGTTAAACAGGCAAAGGACCTGAGTAGACATTTCTCCAAGGAAGATATGAAAATGGCCAAAAAGCACATGACGAGATACTCAGTATCATACGCCACTGCTATCAGGAAAATGTAAATCAAAACCATAATGAGATATCACCTCACACCCACTGAGAAAGCCATAACCAAAAAGCCAGATAACAACAAGCATTGGCCAGGATGTGGAGGAATTGCAGTCCTCTTACTGGAACCCTTACATACTGAGGCGGGTGTAGAATGGTGCAGCCACTTTGGAAAACAGTCTAGCAGGTCCTCAAACCACTAACACAGAGTTACCATATAAGCCAGCAACTCCACACTCCTAGGTATCTACCCAAGAGAAATGAAAATGTGTGTCCCTATAGAAACTTGTACAAAATGTTTACATAAGTGTTTTTCACAATAGCCAAAAGGTGGAAACAATCCAGATGTTCATTTTTGAACAAATAGATAAACAAAAGGTGGTCCAGCCATACAAGTGAGTATTATTCAGCCGTAGGAAGGGATGAAGTCCTGATACCTGGTACAACATGGATGATCCTTGAAAATATGCAAGTTGAGAAAAAAAAGTCACAAAAGACCATATGTTATAATTTTATTCATATAAAAGTCCAGAACAGTAAACTCTGTAGAGACAAAAAGAATATTGGCTGTTGTTTAGGGCTTGAGGTGGAGGCTAGATAAAGAGATGGGGGTAACAGTTAAGAGATATACGGTTTCTTTTTAAGGAGATACAAATGTTCTAAAAGTGGCTGTCGTGTATACAACTCCGTGAATATGCTAAAAAATCATTGAATTGTACACTTCAAGTGGGTGTACTGAGTGGTATGTGGATTACATCTCAATAAAACTGTTAAACGGGTTTTAAAAATTAAACATCCATAGGAAATTTTTGACCCATCTCCCTTTGGTTATTTTTGTTTCTTTGGCCATGATGGTCATATTTTGAACTTAAATCTCTTTTCTGGGTTCAAGGTGTAGATGATAAAATTCTTGATCACTGTTTGAATATTTCAACAGAAATTACATTTTAATCTGCTTAAAGCCTTCTTTGACCCTAAACCATGTCTCCTCTTGGCCTCCTCCTTTCTGTCCCTGGACCAGCATCCTGGCAGTAGCCCAGCATCAAGCTTAGGGTTCCCTCGGCTTTCCCTGTCCTTCCTGGCCCACGTCTCCATTCTTACTACAATGAGTTCAGTAATGCCAACATTACTTCTTTCTGGATTATCAGCACAATTCTTTAAAATAAGAACATTTAAGTGCAAATAATGCATCTTTAATTTATAAAGCCTGGACAAATAAAAGGAAGAAAACTTACCTACAATTGCCCACAGACAAACACGATGAACATTTTGGAGTATACCTTGCCAGTCTTTCTTCCTATACGTATCTGAGCTCATAAAGTTTTCATTCTTCCATCACCCACTTTTTTCAGCTAAAACTTTATTGTGATTATCTTTCCATAACCATACCTTTTTACGTAGAACATTATTTGAAAAGGCTGTGTTGTAGTGTATTATATAAAGGTCCCTTGACTATTCAGCCTCACCGCCTTTTCCAATCTGTCTTCCTGAACCCACCTGAGCCCATCTTTGATTGCATGAAGCAGTCTGGTATCTTGGTGAAAACCCAGGGTGCCTGGACACTAGTTCCCTGCTTCTCCACTTATTAGGTGGGTGACCTTGGACAAATTATTTAATCTTTCTACACCTGTTTTCCTCATTAGGATATGGGTAACAAAAACAGCACTAGGAACAGTGCTTTGTACTTTGTGGGCACTAGGACGTGTCTGATTCCTCTTCCTACCAACCTATTGTGGTTTCTCTTCTCATCAAAAAAATTCCAAACCCCTTAGCCAGGCATTTCAGGTGCTTGAGGATCTCTCCCTAACTTACATTTCTGGCCTTGTTTTTCAGTGTTTTCCTACATGGGCGGGAATGAAATTAACACTCACAATTGAGATTGGGTTAGGTACTTTGCATAAACAAGGTAATCTAATCTTCACAATATCATTGTGTGAGAAGCATTCAAGGCAGACATAGGTTTGGAAGGATTAAGTGACCAGACCAGGCCACCACCTCTCCTAAAGTAGGATTCCAATCTCAGAAGCTGTGATTTCGAAGCCCATGCTCCTTCCTCCTTGTTCTGTCCCTGCCTCCACACTGTGACTCTTCTTCGCATGCTCTGTGTCTTTCTTCACTGCTTGCTCTGCTTGGAAGGTCCTTTCCTGCTCATCTCAAATCCTGCCTCCTCCCTGGAGCCCTCCCAGCACAGTACTCCCAGTTGGAAGCACAATTTCCCATGCTGACATCATAGATTCCACGTTATTTCTGCTTCTCATAGGCTTTTGAAAACTGCTGACTTTATATTACTGTTGCTTGAACGTGAAACACATGTTCTAATTGGACAGAAAATGCTGCAAAACAGAAGGAAGGACCTCCTAATGTTTCCATTCCACATTTCATTTCACCTATCACAGTGCCTTGGACACAACTGATATTTCATGACTATTTGTCAAAAGGTATCCTCAGCGTTTGTTTACAGGGCTTTGGTGACTAAGTCCTAGGCTCCATATCTATGACTATATTGATCTCATGCCATCTGTTGAGTTTTAAGAAAACAAACAAAGGCGCAGAGGGAGGAAGTGCTCAGCCTCCTACAAAAAAACATGTTTTCCCAACTGGAAACTATGGGCGCAGCAACTCAAGCTTCGCTGTCTTTAACAGGAACTGTGTGTGATCTAAATGTCGGCGTATCTACTCTCCCCTTTTCTTTGGATTTATCTCTTCTTTTAGTAAGATGGGTTGAAGTCCTCCGATAGAACTGACGTCACCTTCGCTCATATGGCGTTCTTGGCCTTGGCCTCTTATGTTTGGATTTGAGAAGATACAAGGACTCAAGCCCTGTCTCACCATGCCAATTTCTTTTCAATCATTCTGCTTGGTGCTGGTGCTCTCTGTGACGGCTAAGTCTCCTTAGGCTTTCCATCTGAGCCTTGCACAGACCTCACTGCTCTAGGAAACAGGATAAATGCTTCATGAAATCTGTGTCTACGCTCATCTGCTGGCTGCTGTCACCATCAATCTTCAGCTTTGGCTGGGGATGACTAGCTAATGTAAAATCACCACGCTCTTAGGCCACTGTTAATATACTGAGTCATCCAAGATTCCTAGCAGGCTTCATCCTGAAGTGTTGGTATTATCTTTCTGGCCTCTGTTCAGTGTGGATCGAAAATCACTCTTCTTTCCACACACAAGCTTGTGGATGTTTGCGTCAGGTCTCTGTCACTTTCTTTATCAGCTAGTTTGATACAGCATGACCGTCAGGCCACGTTCCTTGTTCTGTCTTCTCAGATTTATCAAAGCTCCTGGAATCTCTCTCCCAGTCTGGCCTTTGTTTCAAATTCTCATTATTAATATAATTTATAGTGTATTTTGGTTGGACAAAGATATAACCTGTATTTTGTAACAATTAGAGAACAATTTGTATCATTTAAAATCTGTATTAGATACCCATATTTGCTGGAAATATATAATGTAGTTCAGGTCTAGTAGGCCTTTTGAAGATACACATTTAGGAACTAAGGCATCATTTTATTGGGATCAAAGATAAAATACTTTTCTAGTTTACACATCAGCAGTAGTTGGATTACTTTATTAATCTATTTGTAACATAAGAATCCTAAGAGAATGGGACACAGTATGATATTGCAAAAATTGTCTAATTATTAACTAAACTGTGTCCCCCCCCTTTTTTTTTTCTGGAATACACAACTAAATTCCAATCTCCCTTGCAGTATCCCTGCTCTTCACAGAGGAACATGGGTGCAGAGGATTCTCCCACAATCCATTCAGATGGAGATGGCTCTCCACTCTTATCTCCAGCTCATTGAAGAAGGCTCTGAAGACATGGCAAAGGGTGGCGACACAGGATAGAAGGCATGTGAGTCCCTGAGTGGTCATTTGGAGGAGAGCTGTATATATCGTATATATCGCAAATGTATATATTGCAACTGATCCAAGATACAATATATACATTTCATTAAGTGAAGTTACCGAAATATTGGGCTTGCTACAGCAGTGAGCCTCCCCTTATAACCAATGGCTGAAGAAAGAGAAAGAAACGCTGTGGTGCAAGTATTCAAGTTTGGGTCTTTGTGGAGGTCCTTGTTGGTTGTCATAAAGAGGGAGACTCTGGGCAGCTAGAGCTAATATAAAAGCACTGGCTTTCTAATGGGGAGAAAGCTGGAGTGGGGAAGCAGTAAAAAGGGGTGAGAACCAAACGCTGCCTCTTGGACATTTTTGCACGGGCTGTTTGCTGATATGAGTCTTATATGACAACAAAGGAGGATCAAGTTAGCTAAGACCTCAAGGGAAAGTATCCGAAGCTCACAGCTACAATAGCTAGAATCTTGGGTGACCACGCTCAAGTTGTCAGCAGTGGATTGGCACTGGAATAGAAGGGAGGAGTGACATTCTCTGAGGTGTGCTTTTCATCTTATTAAACTTTCTAGCCAGAAGAGACATATCGCATGTTAAGCAAAAAGGAGTTTGTGGGAGGAGAATTCTTAGAGTTGTATAGGGAGTTCTTAAAGTAGGCTTGGCAGCCACTGGTACCACATATTTGCCAAGGGAGTGTAAACTACCTTTTTTTTTTTTTCTTTTTAGGGACAGGGTCTCTTGCTCTGTTGCCCAGGCTGGAGTTCAGTGGTGTGATCATAGCTCACTGCAAACTTGACTTCTTGGGTTCAAGTAATCGTCCCTCCTCGGCATTCCAAAGTGCTAGGATTATAGGCACATGCCACCACGCTTGACCCTTAATTTTTATTTCAAAAGACAGAAAGGTACATCTTACCCTTCTAATAATGTTGGGATCATTGCACTTTGCCAGTTTTCCAGCAAAAAGCTGAACTCCAAAGCTTGCAAAAACGAGCATTAATGTCAGCAAAAGAATGGAGACCTGAAAGAAATTGATGAAACGTTAAATCTCTTGGTAAAGACTAAATATTAGGTTTGGTTTAAACAGTGACATAAATAGGAATTTTAAGATAACACTGTATAAAAATCATGGGTTTTTGATGATATATTTTAACTTTTCCACCAGAGGCCATATAATTAGCCTTACTGGAAGGTCAAAAGGAGAAAATTAACAAGATTTGAGTTTTTAAAATGGAAACATGAATTTCATGTAAGAAAATGGAATAAGGTATTTTTGAAATGGCTTGAACTTTCCTGATTTTAAAATCAACACCTTGCTCTTTTTTATTTAATGGAAAAGAAAAAAACGTTTAAATAATTATATTTTGACCATTTTTCTCCCAAATGGAGATATATATATGTATATATATAAATTTTTTTTTTTTTTTTTTTTTTTTTTTTTTTTTTTGAGACGGAGTGTCACTCTGTAACCCAGGCTGGAGTGTAATGGCATAACCTTGGCTCACTGCAACCTCCACGTCCTGGGTTCAGGCAATTCTACTGCCTCAGCCTCCTGAGTAGCTGGGACTACAGGCGCCCGCCACCACGCCCAGCTAATTTGTGTATTTTTAGTAGAGACGGGGTTTCATCATATTGGTCAGGCTGGTCTTGAACTCCTGACCTCAGGCAATCCACCTGCCTCAGCCTCCCAAAGTGCTGGGATTACAGGCGTGAGCCACTGTGCTTGGCCTGGATTCATGTTTTTATTAGCAGAGCACAAATGAGCCGGACAGTGGCTTAGCTGTCTTGTAATCGTGAAGGTGTGCATTAGAAGAATGTTCTATGCACAGAGGAAAGGAGAGAATTCAGTCTTGAAAAGCAAATCTGTTAATTAACTCATGCTCCCTCTGCTGGCTGACTTCTTTGGTCTCAGCAGAGAAGAGTGACAGAGGGTAAAATTTGGGACAAGTGAACTGCACTTGTTGAATAACCTAAACATACACCTAAGTATACTAAAATCACACTGACCACCATCAGGGAAAGGCACAAATTCTCCTCTAAAATTTATTAGTGATCAAAAGATTCATGTACATTAGTCGTCAGGTGATACTTTCTTTTAATTCCAGCTGTGTGAAGAGCCACAGTTTTATGGTTTTGCATAAAGAAAACAAGAATTTTTAAACACATCTTAAAAAAAAAATCAGCAATTGGGAGACTGAGGTGGGTGGATCTCCTGAGGTCAGGAGTTTGAGAGCAGCCTGGGTAACACGGTGCAGCCCCGTCTCTACTAAAACGCAAAAAATTAGCTGGGAGTGGTGGCACATGCCTGTAGTCTCAGCTACTTAGGAGGCTGAGGCATGAGAATCACTTGAACCCAGGAGGTGGAAGTTGCAGTGAGCTGAGATTGCACCATTGCACTCCAGCCTGGGCAACACAGCAAGATTCTGTCTCAAAAAAAAAAAAAAAAAATTCAGCAATGATATACCTCTAGTAACATCACAATCTATCTCTAAAATACATTCGTATCAACCACAACTAGAGCTGTTTTCTCATTACAGGTATGTCTCTAGAAAGCAAGATCCAAAATGAGCCTAAGTAAATTAACTCATGCTTCTCATGCACAAGCAGACCTCATCAATAATAAAAAGAATCTTTTGATCACTGTTTTGTAAGGCAAAGCTCTTTCTGTAACAGATTGTGAACAATGAGCCTCTTTCTTGTTGTTTTATCTCTGGCCTTGTTTTCAGAAGACCCTAAATCAACATTTGCCCAGCTAAAAAGTACGTTTTGCCCACTCAATCATCTTTGTAATCACTCATTACTGTAATGCTGAAGTTACTTAAAGTGGGTTATACCTATATGTTGCATTTTTAAAGTTGTTTCGTGTTAACACTCCTGAGATCTAGAGAAGAATTCTGTGCTATACTCTTTCAAGAACACACAGAATGAAATTAGGAGCCCAAATGCATGAATTCCTAATCCCATTTGTGGAGTACACGGTGTTGAATCTTCTTATCCTTCATTTTCAGATGGGAGGAAACTAAAACCCAGAGTATAAATTAGAGTCAAGAGGTAGGACTGAAAGAGTCAGCAGATACGAACTCTTTCAAATCTCAGAGTGCTTCTCTTTAGGTGAATTAAATAAACTCCCACGCCAGAGGTGCCCATGGGTAAAGTGTTTGAAGGTGCACTGTGTTTTGTTAGTGCCTCTATAACCCTCTGGCAATAACCAAAACTATTGAATTGACCTTGATAAGCAAGACTCACTTTTTCCTCATTAGCTACTAGAGTTGGACTACTGTGAACTGGAATCAAAGGATAATTCTAACATACCAAAAAAATTTCCTTGAAGCCGCTGAAAAGTTCTCGAACAACTTTCCTCATCTGGGGCACCAGTTTGAATATGCGCAGAGGTCTCAGGCACCGAAGGACCATTAGGAGCTGAGCTCCCGATTCAGCAGGTACATTTTGAGGCATCCAACAAAGAAATATCAAGCTCACCTAAAGGGGAAAAAACAACCTCTGGAATTTATACAATTCATCTCCTGCTAGTTACATTTTCTGAGAGCGAACTGGCCACAACTTTTCATTTAGCAGAGATTCCACTCACTGGTTGTACGTGCAATCTGTTAACTTTAAACAACAAACCTCATCTGGACTTGCTAGATACCTCAGAGGAAAGTCATCATGTGTATGCAGGAAAGAAATGGAGGTGTCCACACCGTGTGTGCGTGCGTGTGTGTGTGTGTGTGTGTGTGTACACCAGTGCATTCTTTTAACTTACTACTCTGGAGGCTCCGCTGATGTCAGTATGGCTGGAATTCCTTTTATCAAGGTTACTGCTATTTTATCAATGATCTGCAACATGCTACCTGTTAATGATCACAATTTTCCTTGTTGTGTCTGCAAAGACAATGATTTCATGCCTTCTTGGACATACAGAAAAAATAAAAAATTCTTTGAGTCCATTTCTGTGGTTTTCCAGCCAGTTTTACTGGACAGTTGAATGGGCACCTGCTATAGCCAGGTATTTTATGCATTGGAATCAGGAGAGAGGTCCAATCACAATCACTTTAGTTGGCTTTCAACAATAAGGGGCTCATAATCAATAACATGGTTTATATGAGACAAACTGTTTTTTTTTTTTTTTTTTTTTTTTTTTAGTATAGAAGCCATAAGATTTGTGGGATGCAAACTAGGTTTGCTATGTTAGACCTTATTCGTGTATGTCTCATTCATACATAAAATTGTGATTAGTGTATTTGAACAACATAACTATCCATAGATATTTATGATGCTCTTAATTTAGATTTTACATGCATGGCCCTTATTTGTATATAATGAACTATGAACTACTCTAGAGTCCATTTAAGAATTCAGTTAGGGAATCTAAACCTCTGTGACTCATACTATATCTTGCACTTATACCAAGAAATGCAGGAGATTTTACAAAACCATTACATTTTTCATTTAGGAAATAACCAAAAACTTACAAGATATATAAATATGTCCATTACTCCACCAAAGTCTCTGATGACAGCAGTTGGAGTGAAAAATAAGCCATCTGCCATAATCTTCAGATTAAGCTCAATGCTCATGAATATCACAAACACATACTCAGCAATCTGAAATGGGCAAAAGGCAGTGTGGTTACAATGAACGGAAAAACGGCAGGTCAGTATTTTACCTCCTAGTTGTAAGCTGAGATTTAGCAGCGGTACCTGCAAAGTAGGTGCATGCATGACTCTTCGAAACGGGGACTCAAACATCATGGAAATGCAAGAGCAGATGGTTACGATGATCATGACCCAGTCCAGGTAAGTGACCAATCCCAGCAAATCACTGCCAAAGACCAAACAAAACTGAGAAACATAAAGGTTCCAGGAAAGGCTTCTAAGAGTTAGAGATGATGGCTTCTGTGGCTCTATCAACATGACTGGTATTTTAAAAACATCTTTCCCCAATCATCTATTTCATAGCACTATATAGCAAGAAGACAAAAGAGAATTTTAATATTTGTATGCAGCATAAAATAGTACATGAAAACTTCAAATGTGCATAGAAAATGAAGTTTTTAATGCTTACTAAAGTTGATGGTACTTTGTATTTTTCACAGCTCCTGTGACAGGGTCTGTTTTAGATCTGTAAGAGAACACATATATAAAATTCTGCAACACAGCAAGCATGTTTTAACGTGCTAAAAATCATATTTGCAAACATCTACCTAAAATCTCTTGTACATCCTCTCTACAATGTCCATTATAAAATATGTTAACTGTAGGTGACTCTGGAGGTCAGAGAACATTAGACGAAAGAAAAAATCCAAAGAATTTGCAGTTGATGCTTATGAAAATAAAGTTTTACGTTTCTCAAAATACTTGATTTTAGACTTAGTGACTTTGTTCAGAATTTTCTAACATGGGTAGTACCAAATTAAATTTTGACTTTCATTTAAAAATACTCATTTAAAATCTTTGTCTTAATAGCTCAAGAATGTTCATTCTTTGAAATTATTTAATTAAATCTCCACAATTTAAATAGACCTCTTCCTCCTGCATTTAACTGTGATGTTGTAGAATGATTATTTAGAATTTCTTGGAAGGGAGATTCATTGTTTCTACTTTCAGGAAGCCTGTGAGCACTGTCAGTGAGATTGCTTACAGTCTTTGCGTATGTGTCCCCAGTTACAACAGAGTCTTCATCAATTGTAATCAACATCAGCTGCCTTGCTGATAAAAGGGAAATTCCACCACACTAAGTGAAGTGGAGAATTAGCCATGAGATGTTAAGGTGCAGGCAGCCAACAAGATAATTCAAGATAAAAAAACCTACTTCGAGAAGTGATCAAATCGATCTCTAAACTGGCATTTTCTTCCTTTACTTTGAAAACTCATGGAAGATTTTAATAATTATGACTCAGTTGTTTTAAATTGTGAAAGTCTTTATAGAAGCAGAAAGAACAATACTCTGGCAATCAAGAGACAGCCAGGTAGTAGCTGGGTCCCTGAGCAAAGCCCTCAACTTCTGCATGCTTAAATGTCCTCCTCTGTTGAAGAAGGGGGCACACAAATGACACTGAGTGGTCCCTGGAGTCTCTTCCATCCCTGAAATGTTATAATAGTTTGTATTAGTTTCCTTGAGCTGCTGTAACAAAGTACCACTGGTGCTTCAGACTGGGTGGCTTAAGTAACGTAAGTTTATTTTCTCATAGTTTTGGAGGCTGGAAATCCAAGATCAAGATACCAGCTGAGTTGGTTCCTTCTGAGGGCTGTGAGGGATAACCCTGTTCCAGGGCTGTCTCCTTGACTTATGGACATCCGTCTTCTCCCTACGTGTCTTCGCAAGGTCTTCTCTCTGTATATGTCTGTGTCCAAATGTTCCCTTTTTATAAGGAAACCAATCATATTGGATTAGGGTCCACTCTAATGACCTCATTTTAATTTAATTAACCTGTTTAAAATTCCTATTTCCAAATACAGTCACATTCTGAGGTTCTGAGGGTTCGGACTCTACTATATGGATTTTGCTGGGGGAGAACAATTCAGTCCATAACAGATAGCAATTATCATATGCTACTAATTAATAACAAAGAAATCAATTTACTTAAACGATGGCATCAGGGACAGTCCAACTACATAATGGGAACATGGAAAGTTTTCTCATTTCCTCCATGACTCCTAATGTCTTCGGAATATTTACTTAAAGGTACTGATATGGTTTGGCTCTGTGTCCACACCCAAATCTCATCTTGAATTGTAGCTCCCATAATTCCCACGTGCTGTAGGAGGGAACCAGTCGGAGATAATTGAATCATGGGGGTGGTCCCCCATACTGTTCTTGTGGTAGTCAATAAGTCTCATAAGATCTGATGATTTTATGAGGGATTTCTGCTTTCACTTCTCTCTCATTCTCTCTTGTCTGTGCCATGTAAGATGTGCCTATTGCCTTCCACCATGATTGTGAGGACTCCCCAGCCACGTGGAACTGTGAGTCCAATAAATCTCTTTTTCTTTATAAATTACCCAGTCTCGAGTATGTCTTTATCAGCAGTATGAAAATGGACTAACACAGGTATGCTTGACAAAAATCCATTTCATCCATTGGTTGCCCGTCAAACTCGGCTTAGGTGTCCACAAATACAGTGTCTTCAGCATTCACCCTACTGATGGCTTCGTACACATTTCTTCCATGTTGGTAGAGTAGAGACAGCGGACAGTGGGTTTCCTTCATATAACAGTTGGTAATGAAAGCACTAGTCAACTTTACATTATTCTCCAATAAACCAATTGAGGTATTTTTACCACAAAGAAACTACAAGCCTGATGGAAGACATGGACAATGACCTTCATTTCACCATGTCCTTTAGTCTCCTTTCGTCTCAGTATTTCCAAAATAAAATATGGAGTTAATAATGCCAATATAAATGTATCAGGAAACTGCTAAAATGCACAAACAAAAATGGCTGTATTGTGTTTTATCGATGCGAGTTTTCTACAAATGTTAACTACTTGCGACCTTTGTTTGTTTTCCACCTGGTCGGGTGTTCAGCAAAGAGGAGCAGCATGATTAATTAGTCCACAGTTTATTTTGTGACCCCATTAGGATTACATGTTCCTTCTTCTTCACATGACAACACCCCTGCTGTTTGCACGGCTCAGGCCAAACACCTGGCTGAAATGAAGTGTACTTACGCGTTGAAGCGTGCTCGGACCACCACCCGGCAAAAGTTTCTGAACCTGTGTTCTCTCCCGACGATGAACAGGGGCTTATCGAAGTACGGGTGGTTCTCTCTGAGTTCCTCTTCTTGCACTTTCCTTGGAGGAGAAATTCGTGGGAGAATAAGGCTAAGGGAAATGTTGCCATTCCCAAATGAGAGCCATGGAACACTGCAGCAACCTGTACCTTTTCATCTCTGCTTGCTCCTTTTTCTCCTGAATCATCTTTATCTCACTGTCTTCTCTCTGTGCATTTCTGTATCTCACTGTATTGGAATGCTAGAAATAAATTAAAAGGGGGTATGTTAAAATAGGAGGGTTTTGAATGCAAAATATATTATCAGTTAAAAAAATTAAAACCACTATCTCCCTCGATATAGAGTATAAATATTAATTATATATATTTACTGTTAAACATATATTTATACTAAATGTATATTTTATAATATGTATATTTATACTAAATGTATAGTTATAATATGTATATTTACACTAAATGTGTATATTTACAATAAATATATTTATACTATATTTACAATAAATATATATCTATGAGTTGTATATATTTACAATAAGTATGTATATTTATACTAAATGTATATATTTACATTAAATATGTATACTTAAACCAAATGTGTGTATTTACATTAAATATATAAATTTACAGTATATATAAGATTAAATATATATCTTTAATGGCCACAGTCTTCATAGCAAGAGTATTTTTTCCTCTGAAAAGTAATTCATTCAGCACATATTGACTGAAATCCTATTACGTGCAAGGCACTGTTCTAATGTGTGGGATACGGCAAGTGGAAACAAAATATCCTTGTTCTCATAGGATGTTCTAGTCAGTGGGAAACAGATAAAAAATAATTCAAAATAAGTATATTAGAGGATGCTGAGTGATCTGATTTTTTTTAAAAATCACAGTGGGTGAGAGGAACAGAGAGGCATTCACAGGCTAGAAGATTGTGATTCTAAGTGAACAGGTCAGGGTAGACCTCAATATGAAGGTGCTATCTGAGGAAAGACTAGAAGGATGTGAGGGTGTAGGTTGTGGTAGGGCTGCAGACATGTGTTCTTCCACAGCTGGGAGCAGGCCTGGCATGTCTACACATGGAATAGCCAGGATGCCAGTGTAGGTAAATCTAAGAGAGGTGAGCAGGCCATGCGGGCCCTTCACAGCCCTTTAGATGGACCCCATGGAAGGTGCAGGGCCAGAGTTCCAGTAACTCAGTAGATTTTATAGAAAGCTCTCCTTAGACTTAATTATCTGTGTCTGCTATCATTCAGAATAAGTGAAAAAGTTAAAATTCTCTAATTTAAATCTCTCCTTTGTGGGAGAAAAGACCTTATAAGAATTTATTGGAAATGATCAGAACCCCATGACATTTTGCTATGGAGAAGGTGGGAGATGGATTTTGCTCTACTTCTAGATGAAAGATAGGGTAGGAAGTCTCTGAAGAAGTAAGCTCTGGCATTTAGACTATTCAAACAGGGCCTTTGCTGTCTATGTTTAAACACGTTATTTTCAAAGACACATTCTGATTTGATTCTTAAGTAGGTTGTACATTTCGGTTGAAACGTATTGATGGCACTTTGAATGAGGGTTGCCTCTTTCACTTTTTACCTGAAAATGTTCTCCGTGCAATATGGCTGACTCTGCAATTCTAAGTGCACAGGCCATGTGTTGGATTTGATGGCAATTCCATGTCAACAATATGGTAGCCAATCAGATAGAGCTCTGGATATTAAAAATCATGGCAGTAACAGATCTTGTGCCAACTAGAACCATGTCTATAGGGTACTGGTGATACCAGGTATTCTCATTGCCAACTTCTAGCTCTTGATTTTGCCTGGAACACTTAATAAAAACCATCGACTCAGACTAAAACACACAAATTTCTAAAGAATGAAAGCAGATGTAGTAGGCCAACACTCCAAAAACTCAAGAAATAAGAGGTAAGTGGTGAAAAAGAGAAAAACAAAATAACCCCAAGGCTTTGCTAACTTTCTCTTGCTAGCCCTCCTTTCTCAAGTGCCATCCTTGACTCTGAACATTCAAGACTACTTCTTTAGCCAGTTCATCCAGATTCAACCTAAGGCCTGTCTTTTAATCAGGACTTCATAATTACCGTTATTTAATATGCCTTTCCTTTCACTGTAATCTTTGCATGGTATAGCTGCTGGGCCATCTAACGCTTGGCTTCTATGCATTTTTTTCGTGGCTCCTTCATTTCATTTGGGTCTCTGGGATAACGCAGAGGGGTCTACGATAACCATCATCTCTAAAATTCCCAGCCCCCAAATCCCCACCTTTGATTTCTTTACGTGACTTCATTTCACTTTACATTACAAAGCAAATCTGTCACAGTAATGAAGAGATGATGGAAAATAAAAAGAAATCACTCCAGAAATTCCCTTATATTTTTACGAACTTATGATCTATCTCCTATTCTAAAATTTAAGCTCCAGGAGGGCATTGAGTCTATCCTATTTCCCCACTGCTCCTCATTCCTTAGAACAGGACCCAGCACATAACAAACACTTGATAACTGTTTATAGAACTAGTAAATAAATACATGACCTAGAGTCTTTCTTGGGAAATACTAGCTAGTCTTTGACAGAAAAATTCTTCTAGAAATAAAATTTCACTTCCTCATATAAAAGCCCTGAAATTATAGACCCTTGATCTAGATTCTAGAATATTTGATTCTTAGGGAATATTCAAAGTCAATGATGCAAATCAAACCTATCTAAAATGCTTAAAGTGTCTTTAATTTCAAGTCAAATGCAACTGATATGACACTTTTGTGTTACAATTTTAACTAAGACATGTGCTTTGTGTGGGATGACTGGAGTTTTCTGCTGTTAACAGTTACTTCTGGTACTTGGCTACATAATTCATATCCTGAGTTTCCTGATTCCCTCTGGTATGAAGTCTTAAGGAGACATGGGAATGCGGCAGAAAGACTCCGGCACTGACACTGTCTAAGCAGTCATTTAAATACATTTTCATAATCACGCTTCTGAAATCCAAAGCACTGCTTACAACTTACATCTTGAGTCAAAGTTTCAAGAGATTTTCCCCTGCTGATCCTCTGGCTGTTTGATCCATGTCTTAGTGACCTAAAACAACCACAGTCACTGGTTAATACATTTCACGATCAAACCCTCCTTTCAAGCAGTGACCATGGTAAATTCAAAATAAAACACTTTTTCTGCTACAACACCACAAATGCCTATGATTTCTTTTTGTAGCAGAAGCTTATACTCTTTCCAAATGTCTTTGATCCCATCTAACAAAATTCAGAATTTTTCCTTCTGATCTTAAAAGTGACAATTTGGCCATCTCCAAGGAAAAGGATTGTGAAGTAGCGATTTTTTGAATCTTTGGATCTGAGTAGGTGTTTCATTGTTGTAACAAACAGCAAATAGAACTCGATTCCTCAGCCATGCCTGTCTGGCAGCCAGGGCTGACAGCGGTGGCTGTGTACAGCAACCATTTCCTGTAAAACCCCCTCTTTTTTACAGTCGCTGAAGCCCTGTCTTTCCAAGTATTTACCTGCGCTCTTGGCGGATATGATGCTGCACGCTGAGGATTGACCTCTCCTTTGCCGGCTGCCCCTCGAATGATCCACTCAGCATGCGCTGTCGGGTGCAAGCTCTAGGAACAAAAAAAGGAGCCCAAGATAAATGCATGGTTTGTACACTTGAGATGAATAATACATAAGTGCTCATTACTTTTATTATTTTAAAGGCAACACCAATGAAAACAAAATACAGCAAATAACGTATAATTATAAAGGAAAATGAACTTTACGTTCTGTGTCAAGAACACTTACAAAGCAGAAGTGTCACGGCTATGAAGAACGGCTGGAAAATAAACAGAAAGCTCCCCTCTTGCCCCTCCTACTTCTGCCTCCTCCCTCCTCTCCAAAAATAATGGTAGAGCTTCTATCAGGAGGCCATAAGAAGGAAGGCCAGCCTACCCACAGTGATAGGGTTTGGCTGTGTCCCCACCCAAATCTCATCTTGGATTCCCACGTATTGTGGGAGGGACCCGGTGGGAGGTAATGGAATCATGGTGGCAGCTCTTTCTTGTGCTAGTCTCGTGACTGTGAATTAGTCTCACCAGATCTGATGGTTTTAAAAGGGGGAGCTTCCCTGTACAAGCTCTCTTGTCTGTTACCATATGAGATGTGCCTTTCACCTTCTGCTATGATTGTGAGGCCTCTCCAGCAACATGGAACTGTAAGTTAATTCAGCCTCTTTCTTTCGTAAATTGTCCAGTCTCAGGTATGTCTTTATCAGCAGCATGAAAACAGACTCATACACACAGGCAATCATGATGTTGGTTTTGAATTTAAACAAGGTTTCTAATAAACGCCCTTTGGGAAGGATTTGTCCACTCAGGCTCCTGGAATGATGAAATATATGTTCCAAGGAGATTTTGCAGAACTTTAGGAAAACAAAGTTTAGAAGCAAAAATGAGTCATAAAGAGCAGTAACTAAAGCTGGAATTATGCACAACGATGTAAACATACTTAACATGACTGAACTGTACACTTAGAAATGGTTTAGATGGCAAATGTTATGTGTTGTTTTTAAAATCACAGTTCTAAAAAGAAAGGCACACAGTTTTTGGAATTATTACCTACAGAAACCTCAGTCTGAAGCTTGCAGCTTACTGGTAACCAGTTACCACTTGTTTAAACCATGGAGACTTTTAAAAACATGTTCTCTTTAGACCATAACTGGACTTGTGTTAATTTCAGATTTGCTAATGAGTGAAGACAACTGGGTGGCCTAACACCTGTGGTGTGAACGATTTTTGTGAGAAAAAAAATTATTCTCCAGAAAATTTTCTCCAACTGGGAATGACAGGAATTCCCTTGAGATAGTTGGTAAGTGGCAAGAAAATAACATAAGGGATTAAAAGACTTGTGTGCCAGAAGTTACATTGCTATGAACCAGTTGGGTGATCTTTGGGCCCAACTTCCTTATTGGTAAAATGAAGAGAAAGGCTTGCTCTGAAAGACAGCTCACAGGTTGAAAATGCAATGATTTTATCAGATGCAAATCTAATGATACTCCATTTGCTCAACACCTGAACACATAATTCTGTCATTTTTTACATATAATTTTCATATTTAATATGTTTCTTAAGATGCATTTGTTGAATGGCTTTGAATAATATGATTACTGTCTGTCTCAGAGTTAAGATCTTTGAGAAAAGGATTTGTATGTGCTTAGCACACTTAAAATAGCAGTGCTTATGATACATGTATAATAGAAGCATTTTTAAGTACTTAAATATAACACATATTACAGAAGAACTTATTATATAATAATACATCATATAAGAACTTATTATTTAATAATACATTATATAAGAACTTATTAAATATGTCATATTTAAGTCCTTAAAAATGCTTTTAATGTGGATGAAGACAATTATGGTGAATATCCACGAAAAATCATACAAATTCACTGAATGTAAATGTATTCTTGGAAACAAACCCCAAATAATCATTATTTTTCATTTACAGCATGAAGCAACTTTTCTACAGATGCATAAATATGTCTAAAGAGAACATTCTGAAAAATCTCATTCCATTATACAAGGAGACCACTGGCCACACACAGGTTCCTGGTGGATGAGGGAAGGACAGCAGATGGAAGTTATAAACCTGAGACTGGATGGTAGATGCAGGAGCAAGGGAAGGGAATAGAAAGGAAGTTTTATAACCCTTTGGCCTGGAGCTGACCTGGACATTGAAACAGGTATAGAAAGATGCCCACGATAGGATGTTTCTGCATAATGAAACAGCCTTGTACTGCCTAAGCCATTGTCACTTTCCTTGGCCATGTAAGAAATTTTGCTGTTTTGGAAAATAACAGTGTTGCCAGAAAGCTATGAACTTCAGTTGGACACAATCAGACCTGCTAAGAGGTTACATGTACTCTAATCCAATGTGCCCAGGTTCATACAAAAGGATGGTAGAAGTTTGCTTTATTATTTTTAAAGGAAATACAATGTTACCATAGATAAGCATATACAGTAAGGCAAACCATGAAATACCAAATAGTGTTTTAACATGCACAATATAATGACAGACTGATACAAATGGGTTCTGAAAAGTAACATGAAATGAAAAATGAATATTTCACCTATGTGAAAGCACAAAAAAATGACTTGTTTTATACTCCATGTTCCTACAGTATGTTATTAACCAAGCTTGTTTAATGCTTACGGCATTTTGTTATCATTAGTTATTCCCCTTAGTAGGCTGTGAGGTGATTAGGGGCCACTTTATCACTCAGCCTCCCATTCCTAGGAAGTTCAGTTCCTGGCCCTCAGGCTGCCTGCTGAACAGAATGAGTAAGTGAAAAGGTGGGGAGGGGTGAGTAGGGAGGGTAGCATCAGGTGCATGGGGACTGTGTGACCCCATCCCTAACTTGCTAGTGTCTCACGGTTCAAAGAAGTCCACCCTGCAGTGCAGCTGCTGATGGAAAGTTCTGCCTTTTTCTGGAAGCCTAATGGAGAAGATGAGTTGAGAAAACATAAGCTTTAGAAGCACACACTTCTGACGTCAGCTTTTATAAGTTGTGGGACCTTAGACAGGTGATGTGCTTTCTCTGAGCCTCCGTTTCTCATATGTAAAACGTAGAGAACAATAATGCCTTTCCTTCTGACTTCACAGGGAGTTGGAAGAAGTAAAGATGATTATGAATGTGATAGCACTTTGGAAACATCAACACTTTCTTTGAATTTTAGTTGCTATTATTTCCTGCTGTATCTTGTCCTGTGTCATGGTGGATGTTATAACACTCTACACAGCACTGGGGACTGAGCAGCAAGTTTGGCAGAGGATAATAGCAGAAGCTAAGTCTTTTGTGTTCTGACTGATAGTGATGTCCATTGTGGACCCATGCCTCCACCCTCAGAAAAGATGCTGCATTGTTATCCCAAACCGAATGTTCTCTGGAATGAACGTCCATAATGGTATTGTGGCAGGCAGGTTTCTAAGATTACCCTGATGACCTCTGGCTCCTGGGTTTCACGCCCTTGGGTACTTACTTCCCTCCCCTTGAATGTGGGTGGCACTTAGTGACTTCCTGTTAAGGAGCAGAAGAATGGGAGAGGTTGCAGAACACTATGACTTCTGTCTTCCTAGAGCGCTCTCTCTCTCTCTCTCTCTCATGCTGACTTGCTCTTGCCCTCTTGTTTGCTTGCCCTGGTGAAGCAAGCTGCATTTTGTGAGGTGCTCTGTGGAGAGTTCCCCTTGGGGAGGAATGAAACCAGCTGGAATTGAAGCCTTCACATCACAGCTCACAAGGAACTGAATCCACTAATAACCATGCGACTGAGTGGGGCTCTTCCCATTCAAGTCCAAATGCATGTAGCTTGGAGAGAGACATGACTAAGTGATGCCCAGATTCCTGACTAAAACTGTGAGATGAAAAACGTGTCATTTAAATCACTTCAGTTTTGGTGTAATTTGTCATGCAGCAATAGATCACGAATGCAGTTACCATCACTGCCTTAAAAAGACTAAGCCTAATGTGCAGTGTGGCTTACAAAGCCCTGTTTAGACTCACTCTAACCTCCCTTTCTGGTCTTGTCTTTACCAGGAGGAACCTCATTCTCTCCATGCCATTTTCTTTGGTCTTTTATATTCGTCACATACGCCATGCTCCAAAGAGCTCCAAGAGAGCAGGCATTGTCTTTACAATTGTTCATGATTATTTCTCAGCTCTTATCCACAGTAGGTGCTCAATAAATATTTGTGGAATGAATGAACCTTGAAATTCTGTGAAGATCAAGTATTTTCTTTTTTGATCACTCCATGCTTCTGAAGAATGAAAATCATCACGGACAAAACAGCATGTGTTTAAAATATACTTTTGAAAGGGGCAAGTTAAATAATCTTAATTTTATCTCAAGTTAGAATATGATGCCACTCAGGAATAATGGGATGCATACCTACGCTAGAAGAGACAGTAATGAAAAAAAAAAGACATTGCACCTTACAACTGAAAAATGCATAAATCTTTCTCTACGTTGTATGTGAAAGCTATTACGGAAGCCTGAAAGCCAACGTGGAAGCAGAGCAGGCTGTAGCAGTTGAACTTATTTCTATTCCTTTAACTGGAGATCAGATCTGTTGCTGGGAACGTGGTCTCCATATACCTCCTCTTATAGGAATCGAATACTTGCAAGCCGCACTAGTGAATAACTACAAAATTTGAGACTTCTAATATTTTATATAGGAAATGAGATGCATACATCTTTAAAGTTACCAAGTAATGGACCTACGCAGAAGGAGAAATACTGGAATATTCCATTTGGTTATATTTTGCCACTTTTCATTTTTCATTAGGGTTGAGATGCCTTTTGGTCTCACATAAGCACAAACGAGGTACGTTTTCAGGAAGAAAATGCTCATTTATTTGTCATCCAGAGTAAGAGCAAAGCTAATGGTGCTGGAAAAATACTGTGATCTTCAGGGACAGTCTCACTTTTCTTAGGGGAAAGACTGGGTAGTGTCAGGTATCAAGGTTCTTAACATCTTCCCTAGATCTCTTCATAATGGCAAGTACTAGAAGGCCACTTTTTTAGGAACTCCATCTAGTGGCTTAATATAAAATATTGGCCTGCCT